CATTCACAGCAAAAAGAAAAGCTATGAATTACAAAGAGATCCTAACGACTGACCTTCTCCCTGCCCCTTTCTGCCAGAATTCTGCCAGGGATTTCTAAAATCAAAATATACAAGAATTGCAAACCATAGCTTTCAGATGATATTATCCTTATTGAAATTGGTTTAGTGAGTCAAAAAATGTTTATATATTACAGGGGGGGAAACCCCTGGAGGTCCACATGCCGATAAACCCTGTCAGTGGCAATCTTTGCTTACAATTAAAAAAAAATCTGTCTATAATTTAAAATCAGGGAAAATATAAGAATAAAATGTAGTCATCTAATGTAATAGATCAGGAATGTCAAACTCAAGGCCCATGAGCCAGATGCAGCCCGCATGTAGTCTGATCCGGCCCACAAGGCCCTCCAAGAAAATGTAAAGGGCTGTCCCACATCACTTCAGCCTAGTCTACCCCGCGTCACTTCGGCCTGGTCTACCCATTGCAAAGAAGAAACATCGGACCAGCATGGCTTCGGCCCAGTCCACCCAATGTAAAGGAAACATGCCAGCAGTTTGGGAAGTGGTGTCAAGCTGACCGCACCCACCCTGTTGGCCATGCATGCCTGGCCCCCCCAAGGTCAACCACAACCCTGATGTGGTCTTCAATGAAATTGAGTTTGACACCCCTGTAATAGATAAAAGTCAGGCTTTTCAGCTCCATTTTACTTCCAATAAAGCAGTCTTTCCTAAAGTGGCAGAGTTAGCTGTCCTTTAGTTTCTGTAATCTCTTAAGGAGATGAAAATTGGCTTGACACCTCCAGAGTGGTCCCTTCTCTTTAAAAAAGACAATTCTATAAATGTGTAAAAATGGTGTGCCTGTTACATTCTTAATTTCTTTTTCTTTCATTGTAACTCATTTTGTTTGTTCTCTTTTATACTTAAGCACCAAGTCTTTATAATTTATAACAAACGTTTCATTAAAAAAAGGTGACAATTTTGCTTATCCCTTACACACCCATCGGAGTTGCTTCTAGAATATACAACAACCTGAAACAACGTGAAAGGGATTTAACTCCTTCAGTTGACCAAATAATTGCTTTCCTGGTTTCCTTGACTGTGTAGTTGGGGGCTTTGGGGCAATTGGTATTCCATACAAGACCTCTGTGTATTTTTCTAACACCACTCTGCAAAGCAGTCTTAGCCATTGAAAGGTTCAATATGTCTATGCTGGTTCATGGATCAGCATGTCACAGAACACACTTTAGGACAGGGGTGTCAAACTCAAGGCCCAGGGACTGGATCTGGCCTGCGGGACTGCCCTGGAAACAGCAAAGGACCGGCCCACGTTGCCTCTGCCAGCAAAAATGGAGCTTGGGAGAGGGTTGCAGGAGGCTGTTACAGCTGAAAACAGCGCACAAGGGCTGTGGGTGGCTCTCCTGAGCTTTGTTTTCACTGGCAGAGGGTTGCAGGAAGCATTAGCAGCTGAAAACGGAGCTCGGGAGCCCATTTTCACTGGCAAAGCGCTCGGACCACCACAAGCACCCCTGATGCGGCCCTTAATGAAATCAAGTTTGACACCCCTGCTTTAGGATATCAGCTAAAACACCTGATTCACTACTAATCCCAGTGGATAGTTAGTGTGTACAGAAGACCTTAGGACTACCATGAAGAAACACGACTAAGCTTTTGAAGAATTGCATTGTTTTGTGTAATGATTCATGGGGTACTTTTCTCACAAGCAGAGGGTCTTATCAAAAGATCTTAGATACACAAGATTTAATGTTTGGAAGACTCGCCATGCTTTGTTAACTTAAACCTGCATCCGAACATGCAAGTTTGATCCTGGAGCACTGAGGAACTGCCAAAGGACAGGAAAAGAGCCAATGGGGTTCCCATTGCATAACACCCTATTCTGGAAGAATGGAAGAGCAGTACATTGTCCATAGATATATAGGATACTCAAGATTATAGAAGCTGCTGTTGACATGCAACATGATTCGCATATCGATTAAGGTTTATGTGAACATAGCAACATGGAAAAGTCTCCTGGGGAGATTATAATGCTCTAGAACAGAAAGAAATCATACCATGCAGCCTATTGAAAAGAACCACTTGCAACTTAAACCTATGCATGTTTACTTATAATTAATTCCCATAGAATTCCAGAGTGCAACAGCATGTATTTTATTACTCTGGTAATGTGCCCTATTAAGTCCAATACAGATATTGATTCAAAGAACCTGCATGTTTTGGACTGGGGAAGAAATGAAGGGCAGGTCAACATTTTTGACTTGCATTAACTTTTTAAATGTCTGAGAAATAAATCAGACATGGGGTAATTGTATCATTCAATAGTACAGTACACATTTACAGTACAGTATACATTTATCGTGTTAACTTGTAAAGCAAAAAGAGGGATCTTCCATCAATACTGCCCCACTTCACTTACATTTTTAAAGTTTTATCTACTTTGATGCTGGACCCAGAGTTAAAGCAGCAAAGAGATGAAGACTTACAATCCTTTTGCCCACTATTTCCTCCATATTACTGTTTGGTCTCAACACAGGATCTTGTTTGTTATAAGCGACTTAGAAGGGTTCCCATCTAGATCTCACACATATCCCCTTAATCCAAGGTTGTGTTTTTAAAAAGACTTTAAAATAGGAAGGGATGAGAAGTTGTGAAATCGAGTGACTGAGGTGGATATCACACAGCTTATAAAAGACTAACACAAACACAATTATGCAATATCTGTAATAGAAACAACCTGCCAACACCACTTCTGTATAGTTCTGCCAGGCCAAACTTCACTTAAGCAGGATCCACTTAAGGAATCTCCCACTTTGATCCCTGAGGCTGGGGAACTGAATCTGGTTGTGTTGTAACCAAGATAAGCTTTCCCGACCTGAAATTGATAGTAACTCCTGAAGACTATTTCAAATGCGGGAAAACAATATATTATCCCGCTTTTCCTCCACTTATCTTCACAATTGTAAGATACATAAGGATTTTCTCTGCCAATCCCGCATCTCCCTGCTAACAAGCACATCTTTCTGACACCGTAGCCCAGCTCCACCACCACCAAAGATGTTGAACTACAACTTTTCATAATTCGCAACCGAAACAAGGGCCGGCTTCAATCTTGGAAATTGACTGATGCCATCTAATCGTTTTCCGCTCCTGGCAACAACATCAATTTTCTCCATGATTTATCCCCAACCTGGTCTTTCAAATCTCCCAACAATACACTCATCACCATTGTAACTAATGTTTGGAAATGAACCATCTCATCCTGAGCCATGGTGGCACAGTGGTTAAAGTGCAGTACTGCAGGCTACTTCTGTTGAATGTCAGCTGCCTGCAATTTGGCAATTCAAATCCCACCAGGCCAAGGTTGACTCAGCCTTCCATCCTTCCCAGGTGGGTAAAATGAGGACCCAGATTGTTGGGGGCAATAATCTGACTCTGTAAATCACTTAGGGCTGTAAAGCACTGTGAAGCAGTATATAAATCTAAGTGGTATTGCTGTTACATTGACCCATCCCAGCTGAGGTCAGGCAGAGAAAATACAGGTGAAACTCGAAAGATTAGAATATCGTGCAAAAGTTCATTTATTTCAGTAATGCAACTTAAAAAGTGAAACTAATATATGAGATAAAACTCATTACATGCAAAGCAAGATAGTTCAAGCCGTGATTTGTCATAATTGTGATGATTATGGCATACAGCTCATGAAAACCCCAAATCCACCATCTCAGAAAATNAACAAGAATGTTTTTGTTAGCATCCATCTCTGGGCCTGTGTTTTCCAGACAGCCTTAGCCGTCCTATACACAGAAGTGGCAATGGATCTCAACATGATTTGATGCCTAAAGGTGTCATTTTGTGGGAAACAAATGGGTCCTGCCTTGAATGCTAAGATAAAATGGTAACTATAGAAATGGGCATGTTGTATCTGTGGAGTTTGTGAGTTTTAATCAGTATAAAGCAATATTTTAGATTGAGAATCCTGTTCGGCATTAAATAAGTCCTATATTAGCATGTCATCTTAAGAAGAACTACTAGGATCCAAGGGCCAAACAACAGATAAGCATTTTTTGGACTCTTCTGTATTAAGAGATTAAATCTTGAAGTTGCTATTTTGAGTTTCCCAAAATACTGTGAGTGATGCTTTAGTGAGTACTTTGAGTATAGGACAATACAGGTAATCCTCGACTTACGACCACAATTGAGCCCAAATTTATATTGCTGGGACATTTGTTAAGTGAGTTTGCCCCATTTTATGACCTTCATTGTTAAGTGAATCATTGCCGTTGTTAAATTACCGTTTCCCCCAAAATAAGATCCAATCGGAAAATAAGTCCTAGCATGATTTTTCAGGGTGCTTATAATATAAGCCCTACCCCAAAAATAAGCCCCAGTTAAGATGCCAGCATTTATTATTTCACCTAAAATAAGACCAAACCAGAAAATAAGCCCTAATGTGTCTTTTGGAGCAAAACCTAATATAAGGTTGGCCTTATTTTCGGGGAAACACAATAGGAACACAATTGTTATGTGAATCTTGCTTCTCCATTGACTTTGCTTGTCAGAAGGTTGCAAAAGATGATCACATGACCCCGAGAAACTGCAATTGTCATAAATATGAATCAATTGCCAAGGGTCTGGATTTTGAACTCATGACCATGGGGCTACTGCAATGGTTGTAAGTGTGAAAAATAGTCATAAGTCACATTTTCAGTGAAGTTGTAACTTAAAACAGATACTAATGGACTGTTGTAAGTTGAGACTGTTTTAAGACATTTCCAAGGTCTGGAAAAGTTTACATGTAAACATTTAGCCAGTTCATGAAGATGTTCAGAAATGTAGTCCCTTGCTGCATGCTTTTTCTCTTCCCACTAGTAGGCTTTAAACCAGGGGTCCCCAATCCTTGGGCTGCAGCACATTACTGGGCCATGAACCCTTTGGAACTAGGCTGCAGAAGTGGCAGGCGAGAGCATGAAGGTGCATCTCCACTTGTGTGAGCAGCAGGGAAGCCCGTGTGTGCTCCATTTGCATGAGCGGCATACATGCATGCCCACCCATTGCACAAATGGAGTCCTGGGTGTGCTGGCTTGCTCACCGCTCACATGGAACCATCCCTTCTCTTCCCCCCTACAATGGCCAGTCCGCAAAGCCGGAAAGTTTGAGGAACTTTAGGAAGCTGTTGTAATGCTGCTTTTGACCTCTTTCAGGACGCATTTCAGTTCCAATTGACCTGAAGAAGTTGGATGACTTTGATCCATTTGCTGTCCCCACTATAAGGTATGGGACATCTCTTTGGGATTTATGACAAACATGCATCTAGAAAGTATAGGAACGAGATAGTGCCTAGGTTCACACAATACATTAAGCTATGGTTTCTTTATCTATTGTTTTGTTGCATAATCAACAATTGGTTCAATTAAACAACATAATGCTTACATTCACTCAGTGGCTCAAGCAAAAGAAAATGTATAATTTCACTTAATATGATAGGTGTATCCAATCGGTTTCTTCAAACACAAATCAAGAGTGGATCGATCAATTCCACTGCATAAATTGTCTATTTACTGGATCCAAGCTCAGAGTATAGTGATCATGATCAGTATTGGCTGGCCAAATTCTGTGGGATTTCCAATAATTTTGTTCTATTTCTTAGCCACCTCTGTCATGAGCTGGACATGATTGGGAGAGATAAAGGAAATGGAAAGGAAACTGATGGTCTCCAGGAAAGCTCTCATAAAAGTCGAGGTGAGTGCTATCATAGAAGAGATCAGGAAAAATCTTCAGCCAATTCTGTTGTCATTGGGAATGTGTGTCATCTCCTTGATGCATAAGTAGATCTATGATAGAAGATACCATGTGTGTGTGTGTGTGATATTTGTGCTGATAAATAAATAAAGGGAGACTAGTACAGATCTATTTCAAGCTATTTAGCTCTCATCAGCTAGATATTGGGTTTGGGTGTCGTGATGGACTCTTGTGACGAGCCGATTGACAGATAATGGAAGC